CCGAAGGGGCAAGTGAAGGTGGTTTTTTCTTGATCCTCCAATATGATCTCAATCTGATAGTACCCGGAGTAGCCATCCAAGAAGCAGCAAAAAAAATGCCCAGCTACTCTTTCTAACACTTGGTCGATGAATGGCAATGAGAAGTGGTCTTTTCTTATGCATGAGTTGAGCTTTCGGTAATCAATACACACTCTCCATCTGGTGACCACCCTTGTTGGAATTAACTCATTCTCTTCATTTGCCACAACCATAACTCCCAATTTCTTGGGTACTACTTGTGAGGGACTAACCCACTTACTATCAACAATTAGAAATATGATATCCACATCAAGTAGTTTAAGTACCTCATCCCTCACCACGTCTTTCATAATGGGGTTGTGTCTCTATTGTGGTTGTTGGGTTGGTTTTGCATCTTCCTCCAAGTAAATCCTATGAGTGCAAATGAGGGGACTAATCCCCTTAGTGTCAGCTATGGTCCACCTGATGGCTCCTTTGTGCCTCCTCAATACACATAATAATGCTTCCTCTTGGCTTGCCTCCAAAGTTGAGCTTATTACCATCGAGAAGATCTCATGCTCCCCCTAGAATTTCATTTTGAGGTTGGATGATAATGGCTTCAAATCCAAGTTGGGATCTTGCATAGTCGATGGGAAGATGTTCTCTTAATATAGCAGCTTCTCAAATGTAGGGGTCCATTTTTCTACCCTTTGTAAACTTTTTGGCTCCTCTTGATCAACAATATTCTCCTCCCCAAACTTCAAGGTGCTCAATAGCTCCAAGTGCTCCTCCACTAAAAGTGTCAACCCTATTGACTTTATGCACTTCCTCATCACCTCACCCCCCTCGAAGTCACCCTTAGTCTCATTTTCTTTGGTCAATGTAGTCATGGGTGAGACTTTGGCACAATAGTCTTGTCGATTTGTTTGTCACTCCTTAGGGTGGTGACCGCTTTGAGTTACTCACAACTCTCTTTGGTGGACTTGGATGACTCTATCACCTGTTGGCCCCTAGGGTTTTCTTGAGGTTGAGCAAAAAATTTTCCTTTCTCTTGTTGGGATGACCCTGTGGCATTGGTCAATTTTATGATTTGAGTCCGAATGCGATTAAAAGCGGTGATGGTTTGACTTTGTATGAATTGGTGCACCACATCCTCTAAGTTCCTCTTATGAGGTGGTTGGTAGGTGGGAGGATTGGATGGTCCTTGTTCACCATAAATTTGTAGAGGTGGATTGTGTGAAAACCCTTGTGAAGAAGGGTTTTATGAATACCCTTGTAGATTGGACCGGGGGCATTGAGAGCTAGACAATTAACCATAGCCATGGTATTGATTTTGCTTAGAAGGCATGGGGGTGAGTATGAACTAGACTCGTGAGAAGTGGGATTCTCATTCTTTCAACTAAAGTTCGAGTGATTACTCCAACCTGCATTGCAAGTGTTAGATTGTGGAGAGACTGATTGCCTACTTTGATTAAAGGCATTGACTTGCTCATGGTAGACTTTCTTAAGTGCCAAAATGTTGGGGCATTCTGAGATGTAATGCTCAACATTCTCACAAATAGAGTAAAACTCCTCGATCTTGGAAATGTTGGACACCTCATGTCTCCTATTGACCTCAAGACTCTGCACTTTCCTAGACAATTTGGTGATTTTGGAAAGTAAGTCTTCCTGTTTCCTTAAATCGTACATCCCTCCCCCACTTAATCGATTACTATTTGGAGACGACCTCAGTACATCGGTGGGATCCGTAATATCCCAAGATTGTGCATTTTATGCCAATGTACTAAAATAATCTAGGGCTTCATCAGGATCCTTGTTTAAGAACTCCCTATTGCATGTCATGTCTATGAATTGTCGATGGCCTGGTGCAATCCCTTCGTAGAAGAAACTCACCAATTCCCATGATTCAAAACCATGATGTGAAATGGATTGTAGCGATCCCAACATTGATAAAATTGTACACTGGGATTTTTTGAAAATTTTGGGATTTGCTTTTTAAGAGCGGTGGTTTTAGGAACTGAAAAGAATTTATTCAAAAATTCAAAAAACATTTGTGCCCAAGAGATTATCGATCAAGGCTTCAAGGAATTTAACTATGTTTTGGCTTTGTCCTTAAGGGAAAAAGGAAACAATTTTAGGTGAGTTATGTCTTCCATGCCATGATTAGTGAGGAAGGTTGCAACTATTTCCTTGAATTCCTTAATGTGCAAATAAGGATACTCTCTTTCAATTCCATGGAATTAAGGAAGTAGTTGTAACATTCCTGGCTTAACTAGGAAGACATGAGCTTGGACTGGTAAAAGAATGTATGAGGAAGTGGTGCTATGAGTGGGTCGGAGATAATCCCAAATGGACCTCGCAAGAGGATCTATAGGGATATTGTTCCCTTCATTCCTAGGAGGCAAATGCATTCTAGGGTTTGGAATTCTAGGGTCTTGCACTCCTCCTCCCCTTGGGACATTAGCATCAACATCCTCAAAGTTGTCACTAACATCCTCGGGTGGGTCTTGGTTAATATTCATGTTGGGGCCTAAGAGTCGTCTAACCAATCTATTTTGGTCGTCCCTTCCCCACATACAAAACAATATCTACAAATGAATAGACAAGTAAACAAAAGAATATAAAAGTAACAACGTACCTCAGCCTATGATTATAATTCAAGGGACTTACCTTCATTGTCCAAAATCACCTTCTTAATTCAACGCTTTGCCTTCCCCGGCAATGATGCCACAAAAGCTTGACTTATTCTATCGTTCCTAATTTTTGACCATGATTCGGGTAATGTGTATGTGGCTTAGACAGTTAGGTGAGTGTCACTCTCCCTTGGATATCATGCAATAAATGGGAAAATGTGTGGGTGTGTGCAAAAGTGCTCTCCAAGCATAGAGAGACTTTTGAGTGTCGTGTTTTACTTGAAATTAAGTATTCCAAGGTTTTCTCTTGAGGGAAGGAAGGTGAATTACGTTGAAGGTGGTTTTGTGAAAAATGGAAAAATGTAAAGTCTTTGACTTTTGTGTTTTGGTGAGTTGTGCTTTCAATGAAATGTAATGGAAATAAGTGTTGGCTAATCCAAAGAGGTCTTTCCAATGGGAATGTCAAATCAACTCAAAACATTCTTCCAATGGTCCATAGGTGTTTGATTGATTCATAGGAAGCGAGAGACTAAAATGGAGGTGAGGACTCAAGCATATCCTGTGACAAGTCTACAGTATTAAGAGCTCACAACCACGTCTGCACTCAACCTAGACAAACCAAACCACCTTTCACTACAAGGAGGAATGAAAAGAGTTGATTTAGCATACCCAAGAGGAAATCTCCCTTGGATTAGCCAACTTAAGGCTTAGCTACTCATGCTAAATGCAAAGACATACAATATATAAAGAGACATGGTATTGAAATGGAAGTTTAAACTTGTATTGAAGTGAAGAAAAGTGAAACTACAAACATAAGTGCATTTAATGCCCAACTAAAAAACTTGAAGTGTAAAACTAGAATGTAACAATGGTAGATTGAAAGATACTTGATTAAACTTGCAACACACTTGAAATAAATGCCACTAATTGCAATAAATGAATCTTACAAGAGTCTTATAGAAGATTACAAGTGAAATGGGTAAAGGAAATGCAAAAATTTAACTTCTCTCTCTAAAACTATGTGTTCCTCATTGAGCTTCTCTCTCTATAATGCTGAACTATCCTCTAAAATGTCAAGTGATCCCTTCATTTGTGTCCATGGTGATCTTCTAGCATGTGTTATATCCTTTCCGTCAATGGGGGGGCTAAGTTGATGCATTAGACAGGCTAAGACAAGCCTACTCTGCATCTCCTCAGGCTTCTCTCTTCTCTCTCTTCCTCATTAATGCATTGGCCTACAAAGTCCATCTATAAGTGAAGGGAGGCATGTATGTGTGTAAGATATGTTAGGGGACAAGGTGGAGAAACATAGGTGCGACCCCCAAGTGGTAGAGCTTGAGTTACAAACTGTCTGGCATTTCTGGGCAAAACCTTCCGGAAGGTCGATGCAAACCTTCCAAAAGGTTTTGGCAAGGCAAGTGGAAAAATCTATCTAGTGAGTCTAACCTTCTGGAAGGTCGATGCAAACCTTCTGGAAGGTTTATTCCAATAGACCAAACCTTCTAGAAGGTTTTGGCAGGGGCTGAGGTAGTTCAAAGTGCAAACCTTCTGGAAGGTTTATGACCAAACCTTCTGGAAGGTTTTCACTATAATTACCTTTTCCTTGGTTTTTTCACCTTCCAAGCCTCCCTTTGAGCCACCCCCAATCTCCATTGTCTTTAAGCACTACAATGGGGGCTTAACTCAAGCCATTTGTAACTCTTCACCTACATTCACACAAAACTTTATTAAAAGGTAGATTAAATGCATTTCTCCCCAAATTGACAACAAAAGCAAGTATAAAAGGGTATAACAACATAAAATATATGAAATATTTTGTGCTAATCAATCAAGTCCACCATCAGTAGGATTGTAGTGCAATCTTTTGGCATAGTCAGTCTTGGCTATAGGAGGCTATTTGATGTCTCGAATTATTTCACTAGTACACTTTGTGTATTGAACATGACCTTTATTGAGGTTATTATCTTTTTACTGACTAAATAAAAAAAATAAATACCTCATGATTATTATGATTGCTTAAGCATTTAATCTTGAGATATTTAATTGACAGGTGCATATAATGATTATTACTTTAATTCATCAAAGAGTGAGATTCATATTCCTCTATAAATTTGGGAGTTCTCTTCTGTAAATCTACTTGTTCAAGGAAAAACACTAGATATGCCTCCTAATCCCCCTTTGTTTTCCCAAATCTCCTCAATTCTATCGATTTCTCAAAATTCTTTGATTTCCTAGATCTTTTCGGTATCCCAGATCTATTTGATTCCTTCATTTTCTCATATCTCTTTGATCTCTACTCAAATTCCTTTGAGTTCTTAAGTTAATTCAACCTCTCAATCCTTGAGTGACCATGTTTCTTTGGTTTCTTAGATACCTTCGTCGGGTTTGCCTAAGGTCTTCGGACCTTCAATGTCTAATTCTAAATCTATAAGGCCTTTATTTTCTCCTGTGATGTCCTCTAGACCAACAAATGGGTGGTTTACAACAATTGAGAGTTAGGTATGTATTGGTCAGCAAAGGAAACTCAAGAACTGTCATCTAAGTTTCATGAAACCTTAATTGGGAAATGTGCCTATGGGAAACCCTCGTTGAGAGTTATTCATGAATTCATTTCCACAAGATGGATGCCAAAAGAAGAGTTCTAAGTGGGGATTTAGGACCCTAGGCATATCCTTATTAGGTTTGATTATTATGAAAACTGTGTGAAGACATGGTTAAAGGAGGCTACATATATTGAAGGATCTTTGTTTCATTTCTTTAAATGGTTCCTTGAATTTTTACCAAGAATTGAGCCTCCTATAGTGCATGTTTGGATCTTGTTGCCTGGGTTGCGTATCCACCTTTTTAACCGTGAAAGTCTTAGGGATATTTTGAGCCCTATTGGTATGATTTTAGTCATCGATACTCCCACTTTACAACTATCTAGTCCTGGTGTTACTCATGCTTGTGTGGAGATGAATTTGTTAGTGGACAATCCAAAAAGATTTTGGTTGGATATGATGGGTTCAAGTAGTCATTGGCAAAGAATCTATTATGAGAAGAAGTATAGATATTGTCCCAATTGTTTGAAGTAAGGTCATGATGCGATGTTGTGTCGTAAAAAGAAAAAGCATGAGGGGGAGTTAAAGGAGGGGAAAATGGTCACACATAATGACAATGTGTTAGAAGTAGCTAAATCAGAGGATAAAGGGAAAGGGGTTGTGCAGGAGTTTTAGAAAGTGATAGAGAAAAGGGGTTTTAAGAAGAAGATTTTTGGTGATACGATTGATGCTAGGGGAAATAGGTTTTTTGGCTTTGCAGCCAAAAATGAATAAGCAGGATATCATTTTGAATGAAGGGAGTTGGTTAAATGGGGCTAAGAAGAGTTTAAATAGGCATGAGGGGTCTGTATCTGAGGTGCAGAAGGTGGGGGATCATGAGGTTATTAATGCTTTGGTAACTGAGAAAGTAGATGTTTCCAAAGATCCTATTCAGCCTCCCTTGTTTTGTCAAGATTCTACACAGGTTTTAAAGGAATTGCAAAGGTTAAACACTAGGGAGAAAACCAAAGGGTCTGATACAGATGACGATGGTGGTTAGAAGAGGGAAAGTGGAGGGACATATGAGTTGAAGGAAAAGAGAGGAGTTTTTGATCAAGCATTAAGTGAGAATATGGATCAGGGTACTCTTTGAAATGTAAATGGGAATCTTTCTGGATCTCCTGCTCATAGGAAAAAGAAAAAGGTCTTAACAATGGAGTATGAGGAAATTTTTAATATACAAAAGGCTCATTCTTTGTCTTCTAAAGATGTTGTTGATGACTATGAGGAAGGGCCATTAATGACTACTAAGGATAGGGGAGATAGTAATAATGGTGGGAAATTGGAGGAGGTGAATGGGGAACTTGGGTGTTGTGCTCTAAACAAGTAGTGTTCACCTTTGGTTGGCTTGTCTTTTTTTATTAGTCATTAATATGAAAGGAAAAGGGTGTTTGGTTTCTCATTAAATGATGATAGGGGATTGGTGAGGAGAAAGGAGCCACTGGATAAGGGGTATGTTTCAGATAGCTTTGTAAGCAATGATGTGCAGGAGGTAGAGCAAAAAGAGAGGAATCAGTGGACTCTAGGTCCAAATTTGTGGAGTTTTCTTCTGCAGAAGTCCTTGCTAGATTGAAGTTTAGAGAGGATCAGTAGGGCTCAGGGTCTACTAGGTCCAATTTGTAAACAGTTTCTTCATAATTGCAGTATATCAGACATAAGTTAGAGGTATGTTTTCCCATTATTGATTATGTTTTGTTTCCTGTCTTGGAATATAAGGGGGGCTGGTAAAGTTGCTTAGAGAAGAAGGATAAAAAAGATTGTTAGGTTACACAATGTATGTCTAGTTTTTGTTATGGAGCCCAAGTTGGGGCATAAAGATTTAGTTGGGTTTGCTTCTAGTATAAGTCTCTGTCATTTTACTTTTAATCCTTTGACTAAGAGGAGCATATGGTTGTTGTGGGATGATAGGGTTGTGGTTAAGGAGGTGGACTGTCATGAGCAAGTCCTAACTATTAAAGTTTCTTTTTTGGGTTCAAAAGAGGTGTTTGTCTCTATTGTATATGCTCATTGTGATCACTTTTTAAGAAAACCCTTATGGTCTCATTTGTTGGGATTTTTTATTGATCCACTTGCCAGATGGATGGTGGTTGGTGATTTTAACTCCATTTTGAGCCCAGATGAAAGGTTGGGTCATGCTTTTCCATCTATTATAGCTATGGAGGAGTTTGGGGATTTTGTTCAAGCTATTGAGCTAAAGGATAGTGATTTTGTTGGAAGCAGATTTACTTGATTTAATAACCAACAAGGGAGAGCAAGAATGTGGAAACGCATAGATAGAGTTTTTACTAATGCTTCTTGAAGGCTGAATTTATGAAGGGTTGAGGTGTTGCATTTGGCCAAAGGGAAATCTAACCATAGCCCTCTGCTTATCAAGGTTATGGATTCTATTCCTGGGCAGAGAATTTCCTATTTCAGATTCAAGACATGTGGACTGAAGATCCAAGGTTTTTGCCTTTGGTGGCCTCTAAGTGGGGATGTTAGTATACTGACAACCCAATTGAGAATATTTTTTTGAAGCTGAAATATCTTAAATGGCACCTAAAAATTTTGAATAAAGTAGAGTTTGGTAACATATTTGATCACATTAAAGTGATTGAGGAGAAAGAAAGGTTAGCCGCAGTTCTCACTGAACAAGAGGATTTTGTGGTTAATATGCAAGCTCTTGATTCTTGTCAAAACGATCTTGAAGAGGTACTGAGGTTGGAGGAGGTGTATTGGAAATAGAAGAAGAAAGTAAAATGGGTTGTGGAAGGTGAGAAGAACACCAAATTCTATCATGTCTTAGCCAAAGGTGAGGCAGTCAGAAATAAAATTCAAAGAATCCAGAAAGGGCAGGTGTGTGGGTGGATAGGGAGGAAGATTTAGGCAAATTGGGTGAGGATTTTTATGTTGCCTTATATAGGTCAGAATCTCATGTTATGCAGGATCAATTGTTTGATTTTATTCCTAAGTTAGTTGCTGAAGAGATGAATGCTAGGATTCTAGGGGAGGCCTCTGTGGAGGAGGTGAAGTCAATTGTTTTTTCTATGTCGGTGTAGAGTGCTCCTGGGGTTGATGGCTTATCTGAAAAAAAAAATTCAGGTAGCTTGGGATATTATTGAGCATGATGTGGTGTAGGTAGTTAAATTTTTTCTTAAAGGGGGCCAGATCCCAAGGTCTATTAATGTGACTCTTTTGGTGATCATTCCTAAGAAAGTTAACCTTGTTACCTTTGCTGACTTTAGGCCAATCAACATATGTAACTTTCTTTATAAAAATTTTTGCTAAGTTGTTGACTTCTAGGCTTGCTCCTTTGTTGCCTGTGTTGATTTCTAAAGAACAGCATGGTTTTGTTAACGGCAGAGGTATTGGAAATGTATTTCTTTGGCTCAGCTGATGGTAGGTGATTTAGATAGAATGGTGGAGGTTGGAAATATGATATTGAAGTGATTAACCCTAATTAGTGTGTAAACTATAATGATCAAGTAATCAACTTTGTAAGATAAAACAACTAAAAATTATCAAATTAGAGTTAATTATGATGTGTGTACAAAATTAAAATTTTAAATAATTTATGTTTAAATTTCAGGGTCAAATGCAGAAAAACGAGAGAATACGAGGCAATTTTGTAAAGCTTGAAACAACGAAGGAGCAAAGTGTAATATAGCATATGGACCATCCAGCACGTGACACATGGATCAACTGCAAGGCACCTTGAAGCTTAAGAAAAAGACACTTGGAATATCTTGCAAGGCATCACCATTCGGATGGAGATCCTAGGGTCCGAATGGTTATTAGGTGGCAACTGAAGCTTATCCTCCACATCCTATAAGGCAATACCATCCAGATGGTCACTAGGTGTCACAGTCTTACATTTCCACCTAAAGGCTTACCTTTCCACCTCATGCTTTGGCTTTGCCTATAAATAGGGGTGTTCTCCACCATTTCAAACAAGGCCGGCCATCCTAGAGATCAAAAGGGAGAAATTTGAGGGAAGAAAAAGAGAGAAAAAGAAAGAAAGAAAGAAAAAGAGATTCAAATACAAAGCCAGTCTATCCTACACCAATACTCTGTATTTCTACATTTCTGTTGTATCTTTCTATTCGGATAATTGAACTACCGCCACTTTTTTGTCTTAATTGATAATAATAAAGGTAGTTATGTTTCAGTTGTTCCATGTGAAAGAAGTTTTAGAGTTTATATTGTAATTTCAATTGTAATGAAACCTACCCGTACTCCTCGCTTGTCTGTAGCGATGGAGCGTGAGTAGTTACTTATACCCTTTAGTAAAGGGTGAACATATGTATAATATTGGTTAGATTCTAAAAATGCTGATGTTTTATTTATATCTTTATCTATATATGTATTATAAGCTTCATGCATGATACAGTGATGTACGTAGTTTCAGTGTTGTGCCTGGAATTATGTCATCAGTGCATCATCAACCTGCCGATAAAACAACCATGACTTTCTTATCGGTATGGCTAGTCCTCCACCAAAACGCTGAGGATGTTTAACTGTTGCATGGTACTAAACCTAAATGATCCTCATGAATGGCTTGTCCTTCTGGATTATTAGGGTTGTTCATATATAATAATACTACCAGATGAATATCTACGGTGTTCCTATCGGTATGGCTAGTCCTCCACAGGAATGTTGAAGATATTCTACTGTAGCATGCTATAACTATCAGATTAATGACGTAAGTGATTCTCATGAATGGCTTGTCCTTCTGGATTACTAAGATCGTTTAACTAGTATATATAATAATATTCTTAGTCGAACAACCACAACATTCCTATCGGTATAGTTTATCCTCCACCGGAATGCTGAGGATGTTTAACTGGTATATATGTATCATAGATGAAGTCAAATGAATAATTCAAGTATTCCTCATGAATGGCTTGTCCTTCTGGTTTGCTTGGATTAATCACTTGATACATCCATAACCAGCTAACCTAAGAAGTTGATGTGTTATGACTAATACCACCAGTTAACCTAAGAAGTGGTTGTGTTATGGTTTATTATGTACTCACCTACTATTATGAAGACAAATGAATAATTCAACTGATCCTTATGAATGACTTGTTCTTTTGGTTTGTTTGGATTAATCAATTGTCATGGATACCACCAACTAACCTAAGAAGTTGTTGTGTGATGGTTTAAATACATCAGACTACCGGTTGACTTTCCAATAAAATGGGAGTTAATTGTTGTAAAGTAGCATTTCCAGTACTTAACCAATATAAAGCATATGGAATCCCTAAACTGAATGGTATCTTTTATATTCTTGTCATTAATATGCTTACCTGCATACTTCATTTAGTTAAACTAGTTGTTAATCTAAGCTCACATCACAAGCTATCACATGTACACCACTTTAAACAATAACTTTATAGTTTTTTTATTGTTTTATTTTAAATTCTAATTACTAAAATTCTCTATGGGATCGATACTTGGACTTAAATCGAGAAAACTACAATTCGACCACTTATAATTGGGTGTATAATATAATATAAATTAGATCACGAAAAAGTGCGAATCATGAAGCTTGATATGATGAAGGCGTACGATAGGTTAGAGTCTGATTTTTTGTTGAAGGTGCTCTCTTGTTTTGGGTTTTTTGAATCTTTTGTTAAGATTATTCAGAATTTCTTGGGGAACCAGAATATTTCTGTGGGAGTGAATGATCTGCGAACGGGTTATTTTTTTTCCATATTCAAGGGGTTTAAGGCAAGGGGGTCTCATTTCCCCTTAGCAGTTCATCCTGGCTGAAGAAATGCTTAGCAGGGGTTAAGGAGAATTTTTTAGGAAGGGGTTGTAAAAGGGTTCCATTTGGGCAGAGGCTCTACTTTGGTAAGTCATCTGCCTTTTGTAGATGATACATTAATTTTTCTTAGGGGGTATAAGAAATCTTTGGAGTATTTGATGAGATTTTTAGAAGGTTATGAGCTTAGTTCTGGCCAGCGTATGAGTTTGCCCAAGAGTTCTATGTTTGTTTCTAAGTATATTAGGGGCTCT